TGTTTGCAATTTATTGTCAAATTTATATACCTTGTGCTATTTTCAATCTAATAATATTTAAAATGTTAAAGATACAAGGGTTAAAATTTTAATGAAATAAATATGGTGTAATATCACATGGGTCAAGTCAATCAAACCTAATGGTTCTGTAATTATTATTATTTTTAAACTTGTTTTGAACAAAAAGCATACACGACTTTTAAAGTGTTTTACGGTTTAAAATAAATGATTCCACTTAATTCTTCCGATTCACAATGATATTCTCTCGATTTGACAACTATGATTGTGAGATTTGAATGCACAGTCTGTTGACTTCTCAAAACATGCATATCTTAAAACTGAACATAGATGTCATCATCTACTATCTTAACAACATTTATTGCTAAATGTTGCTCATTTTGGTTGGTTCTAATATTTATATAAGTTTTCCAAAGTATACTACTATAGACTTGTAGAACAAGCATAAAATGCGGACCAAAATTGCATAATAAATGGCCTCATCATTAGCAGTACAAAAAATGGAGTTATTACATAATCACAGCTTTAATAAAATTGTCATTGTCTCCCAAACCAAGAGCTCTTTTCTGAAATTAATATGTTCATTCATTCCATAATGTTTCTTGACATGCAGAATCTTGGTGAGACGGGGCTACCTTATCTGGTAACTCTAAATCCATCACATACCCCAGAACATACACTACTCAAGTGGTCAACCGGCCATCCATTCCCATCAGTTGCTGCATTAAAAGCATCATTTGAGCTTGATCACATTCAAGGGAAAAGAGTAATATGGTTCTGCGGAGCATACCAAGGTGAGTTTCTTTCATTGTTGCTGGACTGGGATGATGTTCACAACAATGATTTCTGTTCATGGCATGGAGTCTTCTGTGACAATGTCACCGGATCTGTTGTTTCTCTGTATGTGTTTTTTGTTCATGCTTATTTTTCTTCCCCTTTTTTCCATTTGATTCTACTAGAGTTTTTATTTTTTATTTTTAAATGCATATATATATTTATTATATTTGTTTGTTGAAGGAATTTGTCAAATTTGAACTTGGGTAGGGAGATTTCACCAGCCATTAGAGACTTGAAGAATCTACGGTCCATGTAAGCTTTCTTTGCTAATCCTGTTGATTTGGTGTTTTTGCTCATTGTAACCAGGTTGACATAATACTAACTTTAGATGTTATAGTTGAAATATTTTCAAGGATTTTCAGGGGAACAAATTAACTGGTCAAATTCCTGATGAGATAAGCAACTGTGTTTCTCTCACGCTAGTGTAAAATTTCATCTTCTTTTTTCATTGCAATTTTATTTACATATATGTGGATGTATTTGTTAGAAATTGGGCGCCCATATGGCATGACCCATGAACCTTTTGAACCTTATCCATGTAAGTTTGAATTTGAATTCAAAACTTATTTGGATAAGCCACTCATGATATCTATATCTATCATATCTACATATATATATATATCTGATATGAGATGTCCCCTCTCTCTCTATCTCCCCCTCTCTCATCATTTGTGTGTGTTTGAGGGCCTTAAGGTGTATTTGCACTATTTTGTGCAGCTATCATTCGCGCTATTTTGCGTATCGCACTGTTTTGTGTAGCTACATTCGCGCTATTTTGCGCATCGCATTGTTTTGTGCAGTTTATCATTCGCGCTATTTTGCGTATCGCACTGTTTTGTGCAGCTACATTCGCGCTATTTTGCACATCGTACTGTTTTGTGCAGTTTATCATTCGCGCTATTTTGCGCACCTCAATCACACTGTTTTGTGCAGTTTATCATTCGCGCTATTTTGCGCATCGCACTATTTTGTGCAGTTTATCATTCGCGCTATTTTGCGTATCGCACTGTTTTGTGCAGCTACATTCGCGCTATTTTGAGCATCGCACTGTTTTGTGCAGTTTATCATTCGCGTTATTTTGCGCACCTCAATCGCACTGTTTTGTGCAGTTTATCATTCGCGCTATTTTGCGCATCGCACTGTTTTGTGCAGTTTATCATTCGTGCTATTTTGTGCATCGCACTGTTTTGTGCAGTTTATCATTCGCGCTATTTTGCGCATCGCACTGTTTTGTGCAATTTATCATTCACGCTATTTTGCGCATCGCACTGTTTTGTGCAGCTTACATTCGCGCTATTTTACGCATCGCATTGTTTTGTGCAGTTTATCATTCGCGCTATTTTACGCATCGCACTGTTTTGTGCAGTTTATCATTCGCGCTATTTTACGCACCTCAATCGCACTGTCTTATGCTTTGCATGTCACATTGCGCTATCTTGCGCACCTTACCTGCACTTGTTAGTGCATTGCATCGCGCTACCTTGCGCACCATACCTGCACTTGTTAGTGCATTACATCGCACTATCTTGCGCACCTTACGTGCACTTGTTAGTGCATTGCATCGCGCTATCTTGCGCACCTTATCTGTATCGCACTGTTTTGTGCATTCGCCTTGCTCGTACTGTTTTGTACACCTTTAGCATCACACTATTTTGTGCATCTTCTTAGCATAGTTTTGTGCATTCGCTCTGCATCGCACTGTCTTGTGCACATTGTATTTTTGCATCATTCGCACTGTCTTGTGCACATTGTATTTTTGCATCATTCGCACTGTCTTGTGCACTCCTTGGTCTAGGAGACCTTAAATCCTCTAAAGGTGCAATTCCTTCGGTGTTTGTCGTGACCGAATGACTTTTTGGCCCGATATTGTATGCACGGTTCATTTGAGGCTGGTGCAACCAGACGAGCCGGACAGGTATTGTATTCTCCGCGTGAAACGTAGCGAGAATTACATGATTCTCTTACATCCTTTCTGCATTGTAATGTAGTTGGATTTGTGTTGATTGCTTAAAACTGTCGCATGTTATGCTTCGTTACAACTTTCTTTGCATGATTATAAGTTATGCTCGGCTTGGTGCATTGTCTTGCATTCTGCCCCTGCCCTCGGGCACATATCTTTATCTGCAGCTTGTATGCCATGTCTCAGTCTTCAGCCTGATCAAAAATGGGTCGTCTCTGGCCTTTGACAATCACTCCCGTCATTGTTATGACTTTCGAGTTCTGTCAAAGAGGGGCAACTATAGACACCCCATTTTTGACCGTCCTCAAGACTTGGACGTCACCGCTCGAACACTCGGTGATTACTCATGTTTGTGTTTTGTTTTGAGTTCCCGGAGGTCTCGGCTACGCGCCTTGCCTCAGGATCTCTCAACTCGACTGGTCTGTGTTAGGTTTTGCACCAAACACTTGTGTTTTTGCTTCTGAGGGTAGAAAGTAGCTTGTTAGCTACCCCTGACACCCACCGGCCTTGGTTTGAGGCCACCGGCCATGTTTTGAGGCTACCGGCCATTGGTGAATTATACCATTGGCCGGTCGGCACTCAGTATGGCCGGCCGGCCATTTGTTTGGCTGGTGACCTCCTTTTCTAGCCGGTAGCACCTTTTTACCTTTTTCAAGCATGGTGCATGCCAATTGTGCTAGCTGGAATGCACCAAACCTGTCCCGGGGCATACATGTGGCTATTTTGCCCTTTTTCCACCCTTTTTGGTCAAAGCTTCTTGAGGAAGCTTGACCCTTTGTCAAAGCTTCCTCAAGAAGCTTGCCAGCTGTCCTAGCTTCCTCAGGAAGCCTTGCCCCCTTTGACCCTTCTTTTTGTTTAGCTTCTTTGAGAAGCTTCAAACCTTTGTTTTGTCTATACATAGAGCCCCCCCTCCTCCATTGTTGGGGGTTGAGCAAAAAAAACTAGAGGGATATACATTTATACATCTGAGATATACCTTCTCTCTCCATATCTCCCCCTCTCTCATCATTTGTGTGTGTTTGAGGGCCTTAAGGTGTATTTTATCCTTAGTTTTGCACACAAACACACACTACTACACCATACTTCGAATTTGAGAGGCTTTGAGGGTTTGTTGTTGAGGTTTTGGACTATTTTTGATCAAAAGAAGAAGGCTGCACTTGCTGTTCATCAAGGGTTCCTCAAGGGTAACTCTTTTACTTTAGATTCCCCAATCTTGCACTAGACTTTTGCCTATCTTGCTCATTATTTTAGACTTTGTGTATAACTGAAAAAAGTCTTGTATTTGCATGCTTAAGATACTTCATTAAGGTTGTTTTGGTGTTGGGGGTCGATCTCCCCCTCTTAGGCATTGTTTGGCCCTTTTGGTTCTCTCTTTGCTAAGCTTTGGTTACCCTTGAGTATTAGCCTTCTCACCACTGAAATCTAGTGGATTTTCAGTGGTAAAGAAGAGGTTTTGAGGTCTTGCATTGGGGAGGGACACCCCTCTCCCTTTATCTCTCTTTTGCCCTCATTTTTGGCTCATAAGGGTAGCATGTATGCTTGGTTGTATTTGGCCCCATTTCAGAAGTTTTTGGATGTTATTTGGTCACTTATTGCCTCTGTTTTTGGTCAGATTTCTGGTCCCTTACATGCATAGTATACTTGCCTTGCATTCCTCCATTTTGCCTAGAAGTAAGCCATGCATTTAGGCCATGATTCTTGCATGCTCTAGCTTAACTCCATGAAGGTCTTGGCATTATTTTTCCATGCTCAAGGACTATTGGGGGCTGTTTTAGTCATATTTGCCATGTTTCGGGTAGCCTCTTTGCATTTTGGCTTGTGAGCCTTGAGCATGTGGGTCTCCAGCATGCTTAGCCTAGCTTATTCTCATGATTTGGAACCATTAGGGACCATGTTTCAGTCCATAAATCATACTTGTATGCATACACTCATCATCTCTTTCATGCTTTAGGGGAGTTGTTTTGTTGTGCCTTCAAATGAGCATTGTACATGCCTATGTGTTTTAGGCTTTGAGTTGCCATAACAATGGGTTTTGGGACTTATTTTGGTACATTAAAACTCTATTTTTGGTTGCATGATGCATGCCATGAGTGTTTGGGGTAGCTGTAGTAGAATGCTCCTTGTTTTGGGCCTATTAGTATGCATGTTTGCGGGAACATTCATCCATCCTTTTTGGCATTTTTGGCCACTGTTTTGGGGTGTGGCTGAGGCCTTCCATTTCAGTTTAAGACCACCCTTGTACATAATTGCATACTTAGCATGTGGCACGTTGCATTCCATTATTTGCATGCTTGCATGATGCCTTGTTTGCATGTGTGCATATTGTTTAGATAATTGCATCATATGATTTTGTTGCACTCTTGGCATACTAATGTTTGCATGAATAGGTAGCATTGCATTGCATTAGTTGCGTTACTTCATATTGTATATGGCATACATTGCATTACATTTTGCTTGGTTTGTACCATCCTCCTTTGAGTCATACATATGATAAGGAGTGTGGTTGGTGCAAACATTGTTTGAAATGCATTGCCATGCCTTGTTTTGCCCTCTGCTGCTGTCAAACCAGTTTTTGCAGGAAGATTTGGCCGGCCGGCAGTGTTGAGTGCCGATCGGCAAAGAATGTTTGGCCGAGAGTTCAATTTATGGTCGATGACCACTTCAAAATGGCTGGTGAAAATTACACTTGGCCGGTGATGCTCCCCAGTGTCCAGAGAGTTCACCTTGGGAGTTGTTCAATTTTCAGAGAAGCAGAACAGTCAAAGCAGAGGCAAACTTGTGCATGGCGTTGGATTTCCGAGCAAACCCGAGCACGTGCGCATTGGATCCTCTTCCCGAGGCCTTTACTGCTTTCTTAGCTTAGTTAATTTGCTTAATTAATTAGGTGGTCTGTAATAATTAATTAGCTTGTAGGTTAATTAATTTGTATTATTCTTTTGGTCCCTCTGAGCGAGGGTGAATTTGTAATAAGTGTGGGTGCGTGTGTGCATGTCTTCCAACCCCCACTTCTTTCTCCCTTTTATTTACCTGCTTTTGATGGTTAGTATTAGGACATGTTTACTTTAGCATACCTTATGCTATGCATGCGTGCATCATTCATTAGTCTTGCATGCACCGGGCTCGGCGCATCATGCTAACTGCATAAGTATTTCAAAATCTAACTTGAATACATGCTACTTGTGCATTTTCACATGTCATTCATAGACTAGCCGAGCCTACTCTAGTGGCATTCCGTATGCGTTGCATTAGGCATTTAAACATGGACTTGGATCATGCATTGATTGCTAACGAGTTCTTTGTTTTGGCATGGAGTACGATGTAAGTATTATGCTTTAGCATCTTGCATGAGTGTGAATGTTAACATGACAGTATGCTTGCCATGCGGCTATATGTTTACATGATATTATTGCTTGAATGCCTGTGGGTGAAGGTTGGATTGTTTGAGTTGGAACAACTCATTGAAATCCGTGTTTTTTAGCCTACTTACGAGTAGTAAATTTCAAATTTTTTTCCAAACAAACGGATATGCAATGTTTTGTTCCAATCTAGGCGATTTGGTCTATACTTGTTT